AAAGTTACTTGTGATAATGACCAGCGTTTTGTGTGAACCGCTGTCAGAACGGCGGCATATGAATTTTATTTAATGCTCAACTCAAAACTGCACCCCATAACCATTCATGGATTTATCAACATTTATTCACACGTTTCTCCTTATTCTAATAACATGAGTTGGTCAATCCTTCAAGTTCCCTTTCCTAACAATCAAAACTTGCCTAATATTTTATCTGACATCACCATTTTCTTATTTTTCACGTTACTTTTAATTGTCACTTCTGGTAATCAGAAATGCTGCAAAACATACAGTTGCAACTCAACTATCGTCAATCCCTTGGAACTCGAACTTTCCCGTTTTATTGAGTTGCTTCTAGTTTTTGTATTACCAGCTAAATATATTTTTTTCTCTCCGATTCAACACAAACAGCTAGCTTCTTATTTACTCTCATTCTATCCATGGATTTTTAACAATATCTATCTTCATATTCTTCCTCCAGCTGCCCATTAATCCAATCTCCAAACTACCTTTTAATTGACCTCGTCTTCACGATTTGTGCCATAGATTAACCTAATATCAGTTTACGATGAAATAAGCTCGAATGACATGAAGACCGGGAGTCCTATAAGAAGTTAAGAGCATCCATTGAAACTACGGATAAACCTAACAGCAATACAAGGCTAGGCATTAGATGAAGAGTAGGGGCATAAACAAACATGCCAATAGCACACCTCCATTTGACACAAACAGTTATGTCTTCTTCAAGGTATGCCATCATTTTTTCCCGATTGTAGTTCGCCTACATGGAATACTCTGCCATCTGTAATGATCATAGAACTCTCAGTGGATAGTTTTAGTAGCAAAAGCGGTAAACATGTTCCGTGTTATTCGGTTGCCGTCATTCCCACATATTATTTAATTTATCACCAAATCTTAGCTCATTTATCTCATCAATTCTTGTGATATGCGGACCTGGCTTTACCTTGCATTGTTCCGCAGTCATTAAGAAGCTCGTCATAACCCAACCTTTGTAACTCTCGCCATTTATTTGGATTGCATATTTTACAGTTTGCAAAATTATCTATAGTGTTATGTGAAACATTTTAGCAACCTATATGAAGCCAAAATATATTGTGAAATATTTTAGTAACTGTACACCGTTTTAAAAGAAATATGTTACCAAACTTCACATTTTGATCTTGCCTGTAACTTAGTATGCCTCATGTGACATGTTTTTTATTTGAGAATAAATTATTATTATTATTATTATGATTATCATTATTATTGGTAACCTAATCCTGTTCCGCTAATCATGATTACGTCTCCTCTACTATCCTTGCAAATAAGTCTTCTCACACTGTACACAGTGCCGACTGCCTTATGTATTTATTCGACTATTCACATAAAAGAATTATTTTATTTCTTAGTTCTCGCAATGCAACCGAATGACCAGATAATTTGTTAGCTGGTAATGTCTAAGTCTGCAAGCCCTAGTTGATTTCCAACCATTTTCAGTAAACAATCCAGTTTTGTACACTACATTGTGGTATATAATCATCTTTGACGATATTAAAGTTGTCCATATTGATCGGTAGACAATCTGAGTATTAGTTCGCACAAGATAAATCATACCAAATCACAACCAATGTGCGGTAGGTTTGGCTGTCTCGACCAACTGCTCTCTGTATGGCCCGATCGACGTTGATCAAAACCAGTGGCTCTGCTTTTTGATGCAACTTCTGCAGTACGTGGGTCAATGGTCACGGCGACATTACAGTAACTAGAGAGTACGATAGGTTCATACTTAGTCAACATAGTCCGTGGTTCTGTTATAAATGTCCGCAGTGTAGCATCACATACAACAACAAAATTTGCATCAGGAAAGCCAACATACAAAACCTTACAGGTAAACCTTAATCGTCCAGTACTAAACCAATAAAATAATAGAAACCAATAGCCACAAACGAAAACAACAAACCGACAAAACCTGCCGCTGTTGCAAACCCCTCCGTATCTACTGACACCACGGAGCAGCAGGTGAGTTTAAAAGACATAACCGGCAACTATACAACTCTCAAAATGTTACAAATCAATAACAAGGACGTTAGACTAAGTTCACTAAATTTAGTTGACGTTTCATTTTCGGAGGGTAGCTTACTAGGAGCCAGAGCAGCCTTGCATAAGGAACAACGAGACAAGTACTTTACAGCCTTTGGAATGAGCAGTAACCCAGGCCAAAGTATGCCGTCCTTTTAACGTCAGAACATCGCAAAAAGGAAATCCCTTCTGACGAGAGTATTCTTTAAGCCCACACAGCTTGCCGAAGATATGCTCCTAGTTACGTTGTCCTCTTTAACTTCGGTCATCGCCAGCAGCAGTCAAGGTATCACAGGGTACACAAGAGTTCATGGTTCATGGTTCAGCAGTGGCGATGGCTTTCATACACCATAGGCCTCCAAGCCTCTATAACAACGCTGTTGAACTATAGGGTAAGCTTTTAGAAATTAAGAATATATGCTTTCAGATAGACCTGAAAACGATAATCCTAAATGAAACAAAGCAATGCCCCGACTTTGCTGATGACAAAGGACAGGATTCAGAGTGGCTTTGTATAATAGCAGTCATTTAGAAACCAATAGACCCCATTACACCAAACTAATCGATGGCATAAAATCATGTTGTTGTTGTTACCACACAAATGGAACGTAACACTTGATTTTTGGGACTTACTGGCCCGCCTCACATACTAATGCTCAGAAAGATAAACTGACGGGGGCAATTCTGCAGCCTCCACTTCTTGAATTTGGCTAGATACCCTTAGCTGGAGATTTCGACACGCAACCTCATCAAATAGTGTAGATCTTCCACTGGCTGGTTCCAAAGACGACTTGGATCAACCATTAGGAGCTCTGAGAAGTCTGAGCATGTATGCAGCGTCACTAGATGGACTAAAGAGGGAAAATCCCTAAACCTGGATTATTCGTTGAAAAGTGGTCAGCTCCTGATCGAGGCTGTTCACGCCTGTACAACAACAGAACAAAGTGACCATGGCACAGACTTCTTTAGCACGGTCATAAACGAAACACTCAGGCAGGATTAAAAAGAGACATAACTTTGCGGCACTTAGGAAAACTATACGCACATGAGAGAGAATGTTCGACATGCTCAATGGTGGAGGCTAACAGTATATTGTTACTTGCAAACAGTGAGAGAAATAATATAGAATGCCGTCCTAAACAATGTACCTCAGGCACAACACACTTCTGGGAAGAGAAGAGATGGCAAATACTCTTGCTACTGGCGAAGAGGAGAGCCTAGTATAAGTGGAAGGTCTATCTGAAGGATTCTGATCGTAAATCTCACTTGCCATTGAGAAACGGGTGCAATACTAAAGTTCGAATTGGTAGGTGACGCTTTCAGATGAAGTTAGCTGTCCAAATACAGGCAAATCCGAAGCATCTGTGTAGGTTCATGTCAGAAAGGAAACCTACAAATCAGAGTGTGTGTTCCCTCAAAAAGTCCGAATAGCGAAGATCTAACCGACCTACATATGGCTGAGATCTTCAACAAAATCTTCACCGGTCAGTCAAATCAGTCATCCAAACATTCACAGTACTACTCATGCCACTGACAGATAATGGCCTGACTTAGTACGAAGAAAACTAAAATCCTTGAGTCCAGACAAGTCACTAGGTTGTCACAATATTCGCCCCATAGTCTTGAAGTTTTGTAAAAGCCCCTGTTCAGGCATTTACTGGAGTAACACCGATCCCCAGATGAATAAAAACAAGCTATACTCCTGCAATCTTTAAAGCAGAAGATAGGACTTACACCCTCAAAGGAAGTCTGCTCATTTATGTCTGCTCATTGAGTGATCTTTGTTTAACAATAACCGAAATCCCTCACGCCAGTTGTAGCCATATGGAATGCAGCCAAGGATGAGGCAACTCTTCACTTTATGTGGAGACAACTTAGTACTATCAACCCAGAATTCTTACTAAAGCTGTTTAAAACATTTGGATGCTCGTAGCTTGGGGTTCGCAACGTCGTTACACTCCCTATCGTCAACAGAGACTCCAGCTCGTAGGATTTTGCCCTCTGAGTCACAGAAGAATCAGGGGTGATCTGATAATGGCATGAAACTCACAAACAACTGCCAACAGACTAGTAATAATGCAATCGAATGGATAGACCCCATACACTGGGCACTACCAAACACTTGGAACCTTACTAAAAGGACGGAAATCGGGGGCAAAGAAATCAAGAAATTTATGCTAGCCCATTTAAAATATACTGGAGATACCGGAGAAATCCTACTTTCGGCAGTCATTCAAATCCCGAGACATACAAACTCACAACCAACTGCCAACTGACTAGAATTAGACAGTTGAGTGGCTAGACCTCCATCCATTGGACATTACCGAACACCTGGAACCGTACCGAAAGAACAAGAATCGAGCGCGAAGAAATCGAATTGGTTTACACTAGCTCGTGAAAAAGATATTGGATATTTGAAGTCATTGGAATTGCAAATTTAGTGTAAGTCTTGTGACAGGGATTACTACGGTTTATTAAGTAGAGATCTACAATTTGAAAATCAGGAAAAACTCCGAACCCAAGTGAAATAGCGAGAAGCGAGCGTGAATTAATCAAATGATTTAAAGCGGAGTACGATAAAGGTATTGAATGATGGACGACCTTGACGAGAAAATCAAGTTAATGGGCTGTCAGGCTTTAGCTGGTATTCTCACGTTAGTAAGGCGAAATTTTCATTTACGAACCAATGATAACTGTGCAACATTCACTCTATAATAGTGTCTCTTTATCGATGAAACTGTTGATAATTCAATCAAAAAACGTTCGTGTCAATACCGTCTATTAGCCATAATTGTATTACATTACGACTGTCTTTATTAAAACTTCAAAACTTTTCTCGTGGACCTGAAAGTCTTTTAAGGTGATCCATAGTCCTAAATTTTATTCACCGCCATTATAACCGTGTTATAATGCTTTGAGTGATGATCATTAATGAGACTGTACAGAAACAACAACAGGTGAGTACAAAGAATTCAGTTTATTTTTAATTGGTCAAAAAATATTATGATCCTCGTCGTTTTTTTTGGATTTTTTTGGTACTCACATTTGTTCACGAAACTCGTTCCCGTTTCCACAAACCAAGTAGGTATACTCCGAAAGTAAACCCTCGTGTTAATCATGTTTGGCTATCTACCTAAGGACTGAAATTTAGCGATATGCTGTAAGTGTCTTTGTTGGCGTAGAAGTTCATCAATTTTACCAGTGCGGATTTCTGTAGATATTACAACTGTTTCGTATTTTGCATTTTAGTCGTTACTCATAACATCGCTTTCGTTTCTTTAGTCTTATCTAAAATCAGTTGGTGTGAATAAAATAACACATCCTAGTTTTCCTGAATAAGTGATGTAATAACGTACTGGTCGTGTTCGTCTGTCACTTGACAAGTCAGTCACTTGCAACGTAGAACTTCGTACGTATGTACATAAGTTCATGTTGCCATACCACATTATTAGCACAGAGACGCAAATGTCAAATCAAATCCCATAGTGATAAAGATTGTAGAGGTATTAATGTTATAATAAAGAAGACTAGGGTTTAAGATATTATTCAAAAAATATAATTCAGTGAGATAAGGTTAGAAAGACAAAGGTAGAGGTGCTGGCTAATCCAGAAGATTAGGATTTGAGAGAGCTCAAAGAGTGGATGCACCTGCGCCATTGCAAACGATTTTGAGCCATGTCGTTCAAGGTCTCTAACCATTGATGACTTTCGTCTCGCGGACCCCAACCAGGTAGTCTACATCTACCAACATGACTCAGTCCACTTGTCAGGGACTTCATGGATTTCTGCCATGTTTTGGTCTGGCCGCCCCTAGCTTTCTTCCAACCTACTCCTACACCACAAAACATAGCTCGCCGAGGCAGTCGGTGGTTAGGCATACGTAACACATGTCCCAACCACCTCAACTGATGAAGTTTCACCACTTCATCTATTGATCTGCCATCCTTGCCTAGTACTCGTTTCCTAACGACAGCATTGCTTACTCGGTTGTCCCAGGATATACGAGCAATGCTTCTTAAACATCTATGATCGAATACTAGTAACCTACGAACATCTTCTACTCTTAACGGCCATGTTTCACAGCCATATAAGAGAACGGAACGAACTGCTGCGCAGTACACCCGCCCTTTGGTTAGCGAACGGATATCTCGCCTACGCCATAAGTGACGCAGGTGGGCAAAAGCCAATCGAGCTTTCTGTATCCGAGCTGAGATTTCGTCAGTCACCAGACCGTCAGCACTGATGAGACTCCCCAGATAAGTGACGTGATCTACACGCTCGACTACTTCACTCCCTATCACTAGTTCAGGTGCCGAAGCAACCCAGTCTTGAAGCAACATTTTGCATTTCGAGGGGGAAAACCGCATCCCGAACATGCTCGCATTGTTGCTTATGGTAGTCAGAAGACTCTGCATTTTGTCAGCGTCTTCACCGAATAGAACTATGTCATCGGCATATTCTAGATCAGTAAGCGACTTTCCTGGTAGAAGGTCAACCCCTGAAAAATCTGACGAGCTTAGTGTTAACTCTAGGAGGATGTCTACGACAAAGTTGAACAAGAATGGAGAGAGTGGGCAGCCCTGACGGACACCACTTGATGTAGAGAATTCAGATGACAGTTCGCCATATGCTCTCACCCGACCAGTGGTGTTCGAGTAGAGTGCTTGTATAAGGTTAATGTACTTCTTTGGTACACCTTTCAATGACAGACACTGCCACAGAACCTCACGATCCACTGAGTCGAATGCCGCCTTAAGGTCCAGGAACACGACTATTGTCGGACGTCTAAATGTGTGTCTGTGTTCCAGGACCTGTCGTAGTGTGAAGATGTGGTCTATACAACCACGTCCAGGTCGAAAACCAGACTGGTTTTCTCGAGTCTGCTCTTCGCGAGCTCTAGTTAGACGTCTAAGTATAATCGAGGCTAACAATTTAGAAACTATATTAGTTAAACTTATTCCCCTGTGATTGTCACAAGAGGACTTCTGTCCTTTCTTGTAGATTGGGACAATTAGCGACTGAGACCAGTCAGATGGGATTACGTCCAGTTCCCAGATTCTACCTAGGATCTCGGTCAGTTTAACCGTTAAAACTGGACCACCATCCTTAAACATCTCAGGGGTAAGCCTATCGGGACCTGCCGCTCTACCTCTCCTTAGATTTCCTATAGCTTTCTCAACTTCATGTAAACTGGGAGGACTTAAATCGATTTGCCATTCAGGATGACTGGAGATCGTGGGCAACCGAAGAGTGGCTGAAGGCCAGTTGAACTGATCCCTAAAGTGTTCTGCCCATCGGTCCAGCCTCCTAGATTGAGAATGGATAATAAGACCATCATTTTCCGAGATAGTCTCACTTACATTCGGGTTCCTAATACCGGTTTCTTTGATAAGGCGGAAAAGTTGTCTAGTGTAGCCTATCGCCGCTGCCTTTTCCATCGCTTTCGCATTCGCCACCCACCACTGTTCACGGTCGTTACGTAGGCTTTTTATAAGTTTGCGCCTAAGCTGACTACGCTCTTCATCATGTTCAGAGTCAGGTGGGATGCGTTTTCGAGCATCCATCAGTTTGGTGGATGCGACTGATATCCACGGCTTCATCCTAGCCTTGTGGTTTACCTTGCTAGCAGATACCATTGCTGTTTCCACAGCCTTCTTTATATCATTCCAACCTGACTCCGGATGGGAATCACTTGCATGATCGCCCAACTGTTTTTCTAGTTCCTCCTGGAATATTTTCTTAGCTTGATTATCATCAAGTAAAGCCCTAAGAGGCTTCCTTACGGTGTCTTTCCTACGTCCAGCAAGCCTCAAACAAATACGTGCTCGCACTAGGGCATGATCTGAATCTAAACATGTGCCCCAGAACGAGCGACAGTCCTCTATCGAACCCCTCCATCGGTGGCTGATGGCGATATGATCTAGTTGTGTCCAACGTTGAGACGACTTCGGGGGTCGCCAGGTCAAAAGGTGTTTTTCCTTATGCTTAAAATTAGTGTTTGCTAGAAATAGTTGGTTATCTGAGCACAGTTGCAACAGACGCTCGCCATTGTCTGTTCTTTGAGCCGCGAGACCGTAACATCCACCTAGGTGTCTTTCATTTTCACTTAGTCTACCTACTTGTGCATTGAAGTCACCAGCCATTATAACTATATCAGAGCGCTTAACTTTTTGGAGGAGGTCCGAAAGCTTTCTGTAAAACTCATCTTTTACATCATCTGGGCTGCAGTCAGTGGGGGCGTAGGCTGATATGACGAAGAGGCAACGGCGAGTGTCCCTATCTTTCCGAGTCCTTACTGTCCCGTTGAGTCGGACGGCGCACAAGCGACTATCTACAGGGATCCAGTCAAGGAGAGATTGTTCTGCCCTACGACTCAATGCTATACCTACACCGGCGAGGCCCCTAGAAGCAGCATCAGGGCTACCGGATACACGAAGGGTAAATCGAGCTGCTTCTTTATCTTGACATGGTGAGGTCAAATGAGTGATGCTACTCGGATCCTGTATGCGCGTTTCCGAGACGCAGCATACATCGATGGAACGAGATTCTAAAGTCCTAGCTAATGATGCCTGTTGCCCTGTTTGACACAATGTCCGTACATTGAATGCTCCAACATGTAGTTTGGAACGGGGTTTAAGGAGACCAGGAACGACGTTTCGCAAACTCGCATCGTTTACATTAGCTGTGCACTGTAATAAATGAATGTGAGAAGAGTTAGTTGTGGAGATAAGAGAGGTATTAGGGAATGTAGGAAGGATTTGATTTTGAACAATTTTGTCTCGTGTGCTGTTGCGGGTATGAGGGCGGTTATCACTTCCCGGCTGCCCACACCGTGGAAGGTTGTTTCTTGACGAACCTGAAAAGGAAGATGGATTAGTGTTGGTGCGTGACCGCAGAGTCCAAGGGACAACTGCTTCAGGCCGGTCACGCACGGCCTTTTTATGAGAGGTATTTAGAGGATTAGCTCCGTTCTTGAAGGCCCTTAGTGGGCACCCTTACCCAAGGAGACGGAAATCCGTGAGGTAGGGGAGGTGTGACATTTTTAGGGCCGACCTTTTCTAACCCTTCCTTCCTTGTGAGAAGGCAGCATCGCTGCAGATGCTGGTTGTCCGAGGGAAACACCTTACTGCTGTCACACCCCTCTGCAGTCAGCAGTACGACTTCGCCCTCAGACCTTGGGTAGCTGCTTTTAGTCTCATCGTTCTCCAATCGACCTGCCTGGCATGGTAGGACCTGCAGGAACATGTGTTCCAGCCAGTATAGCTCGGTTGGGTCATCACGATAGGCAAGCCCGACCACCACGTCAAGGTAGCAGCTTCGGTCGGGAACAGTGAACAAACTAGATTTCAAACTTTGATTACTGGTTCTGTAAAATATTCTACTCACTGACATATTCCTAGTGTACTTTAAGTTAAACTATGTCTTCTTTAACGATTGCTCAAAATATTTGTCTTCATTTGATAACCTGATTATTTCAAAGTTTTTTCGTATGATCAACGTGCCTTAATAGCTAGAAGGCGAAGCTGTCTGTCAATTGTTTTTTTAATTGTAGTCACTATGATTTTCAATAATAACAATACTGAACAGTCATCGTTGATGCGAATGTTTTTTATTCTTTTATTTATAGTGTTCCCTGGCACAAAATTATGATAGAATTTACCGCTGTTTTTCAGAACCTTATAAACCATATCCCTTGGGAATGAATTTATCATTATTTCTAATAACATTTCTAGCATACTTCCTATCTTTTGGATCTTCAGTGTTGTCTTTTGAATATGTTTCCTCTGTTGTGGAAACAGGTAAGGGAGTATCTTTGTGAAAGTAGTTTTTTTTCCTGTTATCTCGATTAGGTGTTACTAGAGGTTAATGGGTCTGTTTTTAGTAATGTGGTTGTTGTCCATATCCCTCAATCAAGAGTGATGTAAAAAAAATGCAAGCTATCTTCTCTATGGTTTTGTGTATATTTGTCTGAGTTTATCTAAGGCTTGCAAAACTTATTTTAATGCTCTTCTGTGTTAGAAGACAGTACATTAATGCCCCATTCGTTTTCTCGACCGAAGCTGCTACCTTGACGTGGTGGTCGGGCTTGCCTATCGTGATGACCCAACCCGAGCTATACTGGCTGGAACACATGTTCCTGCAGGTCCTACCATGCCAGGCAAGTCGATTGGAGAACGATGAGACTAAAAGCAGCTACCCAAGGTCTGAGGGCGAAGTCGTACTGCTGACTGCAGAGGGGTGTGACAGCAGTAAGGTGTTTCCCTCGGACAACCAGCATCTGCAGCGATGCTGCCTTCTCACAAGGAAGGAAGGGTTAGAAAAGGTCGACCCTAAAAATGTCACAACTCACCCTACCTCACGGATTTCCGGCTCCAGGGTAAGTGTGTCCACTAAGAGCCTTTAAGAGTGGAGGTAATACTCAAAAATCCTTTCATAAAAAGGCCGTACGTGACCGGCCTCAAGCAGTTGTCTCCTGAGCTCTGCGGTCACGCTCCCAGGTCTCCAAGAGAAACACTAATCTATCTTCCTTTTCAGTTCCCTTAAGAAACAACCTTCCACGGTGTGGGCAGCCGGGAAGTGACAACCGCCCTCATACCCGCAACAGCACACGAGACAAAATTGTTCAAAATCAAATCCTTCCCGCATTCCCTAATACCTCTCTTACCTCCACAACTAACTCTTCTCACATTCATTTATTACAGTGCACAGCTAATGTAAACGATGCGAGTTTGCGAAACGTCGTTCCTGGTCTCCTTAAACCCCGTTCCAAACTACATGTTGGAGCATTCAATGTACGGACATTGTGTCAAATAGAGCAACAGGCGTCATTAGCTAGGACTTTAGAATCTCGTTCCATCGATGTGTGCTGCGTCTCGGAAACGCGCATACAGGATCCGAGTAGCATCACTCATTTGACCTCACCATGTCAAGATAAAGAAGCAGCTCGATTTACCCTTCGTGTATCCGGTAGCCCTGATGCTGCTTCTATGGGGCCTCGCCGGTGTAGGTATAGCATTGAGTCGTAGGGCAGAACAATCTCTCCTTGACTGGATCCCTGTAGATAGTCGCTTGTGCGCCGTCCGACTCAACGGGACAGTAAGGACTCGGAAAGATAGGGACACTCGCCGTTGCCTCTTCGTCATATCAGCCTACGCCCCCACTGACTGCAGCCCAGATGATGTAAAAGATGAGTTTTACAGAAAGCTTTCGGACCTCCTCCAAAAAGTTAAGCGCTCTGATATAGTTATAATGGCTGGTGACTTCAATGCACAAGTAGGTAGACTAAGTGAAAATGAAAGACACCTAGGTGGATGTTACGGTCTCGCGGCTCAAAGAACAGACAATGGCGAGCGTCTGTTGCAACTGTGCTCAGATAACCAACTATTTCTAGCAAACACTAATTTTAAGCATAAGGAAAAACACCTTTTGACCTGGCGACCCCCGAAGTCGTCTCAACGTTGGACACAACTAGATCATATCGCCATCAGCCACCGATGGAGGGGTTCGATAGAGGACTGTCGCTCGTTCTGGGGCACATGTTTAGATTCAGATCATGCCCTAGTGCGAGCACGTATTTGTTTGAGGCTTGCTGGACGTAGGAAAGACACCGTAAGGAAGCCTCTTAGGGCTTTACTTGATGATAATCAAGCTAAGAAAATATTTCAGGAGGAACTAGAAAAACAGTTAGGCGGCCATGCAAGTGATTCCCATCCTGAAGTAGGTTGGAATCATATCAAGAAGGCTGTGGAAACAGCAATGGTATCTGCTAGCAAGGTAAACCACAAGGCTAGGATGAAGCCGTGGATATCAGTCGCATCCACCAAACTGATGGATGCTCGAAAACGCATCCCACCTGACTCTGAACATGATGAAGAGCGTAGTCAGCTTAGGCGCAAACTTATAAAAAGCCTACGTAACGACCGTGAACAGTGGTGGGTGGCGAATGCGAAAGCGATGGAAAAGGCAGCGGCGATAGGCTACACTAGACAACTTTTCCGCCTTATCAAAGAAACCGGTATTAGGAACCCGAATGTAAGTGAGACTATCTCGGAAAATGATGGTCTTATTATCCATTCTCAATCTAGGAGGCTGGACCGATGGGCAGAACACTTTAGGGATCAGTTCAACTGGCCTTCAGCCACTCTTCGGTTGCCCACGATCTCCAGTCATCCTGAATGGCAAATCGATTTAAGTCCTCCCAGTTTCATGAAGTTGAGAAAGCTATAGGAAATCTAAGGAGAGCTAGAGCGGCAGGTTCTGATAGGCTTACCCCTGAGATGTTTAAGGATGGTGGTCCAGTTTTAACGGTTAGACTGACCGAGATCCTAGGTAGAATCTGGGAACTGGACGTAATCCCATCTGACTGGTCTCAGTCGCTAATTGTCCCAATCTACAAGAAAGGACAGAAGTCCTCTTGTGACAATCACAGGGGAATAAGTTTAACTAATATAGTTTCTAAATTGTTAGCCTCGATTATACTTAGACGTCTAACTAGAGCTCGCGAAGAGCAGACTCGAGAAAACCAGTCTGGTTTTCGACCTGGACGTGGTTGTATAGACCACATCTTCACACTACGACAGGTCCTGGAACACAGACACACATTTAGACGTCCGACAATAGTCGTGTTCCTGGACCTTAAGGCGGCATTCGACTCAGTGGATCGTGAGGTTCTGTGGCAGTGTCTGTCATTGAAAGGTGTACCAAAGAAGTACATTAACCTTATACAAGCACTCTACTCGAACACCACTGGTCGGGTGAGAGCATATGGCGAACTGTCATCTGAATTCTCTACATCAAGTGGTGTCCGTCAGGGCTGCCCACTCTCTCCATTCTTGTTCAACTTTGTCGTAGACATCCTCCTAGAGTTAACATTAAGCTCGTCAGATTTTTCAGGGGTTGACCTTCTACCAGGAAAGTCGCTTACTGATCTAGAATATGCCGATGACATAGTTCTATTCGGTGAAGACGCTGACAAAATGCAGAGTCTTCTGACTACCATAAGCAACAATGCGAGCATGTTCGGGATGCGGTTTTCCCCCTCGAAATGCAAAATGTTGCTTCAAGACTGGGTTGCTTCGGCACCTGAACTAGTGATAGGGAGTGAAGTAGTCGAGCGTGTAGATCACGTCACTTATCTGGGGAGTCTCATCAGTGCTGACGGTCTGGTGACTGACGAAATCTCAGCTCGGATACAGAAAGCTCGATTGGCTTTTGCCCACCTGCGTCACTTATGGCGTAGGCGAGATATCCGTTCGCTAACCAAAGGGCGGGTGTACTGCGCAGCAGTTCGTTCCGTTCTCTTATATGGCTGTGAAACATGGCCGTTAAGAGTAGAAGATGTTCGTAGGTTACTAGTATTCGATCATAGATGTTTAAGAAGCATTGCTCGTATATCGTGGGACAGCCGAGTAAGCAATGCTGTCGTTAGGAAACGAGTACTAGGTAAGGATGGCAGATCAATCGATGAAGTGGTGAAACTTCATCAGTTGAGGTGGTTTGGACATGTGTTACGTATGCCTAACCACCGACTGCCTCGACGAGCTATGTTTTGTGGTGTAGGAGTAGGTTGGAAGAAAGCTAGGGGCGGCCAGACCAAAACATGGCAGAAATCCATGAAGTCACTGAAAAGTCGACTGAGTCATGTTGGTAGATGTAGACTACGTGGTTGGGGTCCGCGAGACGAAAGTCATCAATGGTTAGAGACCTTGAACGACATGGCTCAAAATCGTTTGCAATGGCGCAGGTGCATCCACTCTTTGAGCTCTCTCAAATCCTAATCTTCTGGATTAGCCAGCACCTCTACCTTTGTCTTTCTAACCTTATCTCACTGAATTATATTTTTTGAATAATATCTTAAACCCTAGTCTTCTTTATTATAACATTAATACCTCTACTATCTTTATCACTATGGGATTTGATTTGACATTTGCATCTCTGTGCTTATAATGTGGTATGGCAACATGAACTTATGTACATACGTACGAAGTTCTACGTTGCAACTGACTGACTGACCATCCGTTTTCTCTTAATCTACTATTGTCACGACAAAAATATTGATGGACTAGAACTTAATTATGGGTTTAAGTAAACACGTCTTATCCGCTTGTTATAATTATCAACGTTTTCAATGATCGATAAGACAAACTCTTCGGTTCTTAAATGCTAAATAAATAAATATAGTGAAATGGCGTGAAGTCTAGTAATGACTGCTCACATAGCTAATATTATTGGGCTGGTCCTCCAAATGATTTGAAATCATAGGCAATATCACTTGCTAGAAAATAGGTTTTTTTTTGGTATCATAAGGTATACCTGTGGTGTGAGCTACTTATAAGTAGTATATGACGAGTGTAAACGTAATGTCCGGCAGCATAATATGGAGGAAGATCAAGAAAGGAAGAGTTAGAACACAATGGAATTTGTATGAAACGCATGAATAGTGACAATCGATTGATGTTTGGCAACAGGAACAGTCCAGTTCGATAGGATGAATTGATCTTTTGCAAATGAACAATTTACGATATGGTTTTCCTATTTTACTGAGTAACTCTGTAATTTTCGTTAAATACAATTCGGTTACCCCACCTGTGTCTTCATTCACTACATACCTACATAGAATACAATGACATGTAACCTAATGTGGAATTTCATGGGTGATTGAATGAAATAAATTTATTGATAACTTCTTATCCGCTCAATTAAGGCGTGATTGCTTGGAGTAAATTTTAGACATTGTATCACTTACATAAAGTAAACAAAAAAAATAATTTTCAGGATTGCGAGTTAAGTCCGCTTTTCGAAACCATTTACTTGGAAAGGTGAATATATCACGCCCAGTTCCTATCCATCTTGTTTTACGTTTGGGCGAGTTTCTGTAGCTGCTCTGAAATAATACGTTGAAAGTTTTTCTCCTACTCTTGTATCACATTTAAGTAGTCGAAAAATTCAAACCTATCATAATTATATTTGGTTTGTCTCACCTGCTTAAAACTATTGTTTGATAAATAAAATGTTCAGTGTTGAACTGTCGCTTAGATTTTTGGTCTATTCAGTCGTTCCATACACAATAGCATCCTGAATTATAGCTTGTCATTATATTATCTGGTTTTCATATATTTCTTTTAATTTACACTCCAGTAGCTTGAAAGCCATCATAACTAGCGCAACTATGTAGAGTTGATCTGATCAACTTTCAATCGGCTGGGTTCAGCTATTCACAGAATAGATAACATTAAATAATCCCAATATCATTCACCATTACAAATTAACGTATGGTTATTGTTGAAACTTTACAATTGATAGTTTGGTTATGATTCACTAAATATTCTTCTCATGTATTATCATCGAACTTATTCCTCATCCGAAGACAATTAAGCTTCTATGCAGTTGATACTAAAGCTGAACTTTAGGAGCTGGGCAAAGACCGTCCGACCGCAGTCGCTACCTTGACATGGTGCTCGGACTTGCCTATTGTGATGATCCGACCGAGCTATATTTCCCGGAACGTATGTTTCTGTACATCCTACCATGCCAGGCAGGTCGTTTAGAGAACAATAAGACTGAAAGCAGCAACTTGAGGTCTAAGGGTGACGCCTTACTGCTGACTGTAGAGGGCTGTGACAACAGTAAAGTGTTTCGTTCGGACAATCAGCATTTGCAGCTATGCTTCCTTCTCAAAAGGAAAGAAGTGTTTAGCAAAGGCCGACCCTAACAGTGTCACACCTCACTTTACCCCTCTCCGGCCGTAGAGCCATTTGAAGAGCGGAGCTAACACTCTTAAAACTTCTTATAAAAATGCCGTGTATAACCGACCCCATTGAGTCATCTCTTGGGCTCTACGGTCACGCTCCTTGGTCGCTAAGACCAACACTAATCCAACTCGCTTTTCATATTCCTCAAGAAACACCCTTGTATGTTGTTGGCAGCCAGGAAGTGACACATGCCCTCATACTCGTAACAGCACACTTAATAACCCTCTTACATTCATGACGAAACCCCACATTCCAATATCACCTGGCTTTGCTAACCTAAATGATTTTAGTACACGAAAAGTTATTCCTGGTCGCCTGAAACTACGCTCGAACCTTGGCTAAGGCATTCCAAGCACACTAAAACCTCATATGGCATTTATAAAAACACTATGTTGTCTATCGATTATGAAATGAACAATCTCAGCAGATAACTTAGCATCACTCATGTCATGTAGGTTGTGTTCTGATTGTTTGAACAGGTTACTAGCTGGGTTAGGGTCATTTACTCACTGCGAGACGCCTATGCAGTCTAGCTGTACCCAAGATAGTATTGACAAAAATAATACAGCATTTATAATAAATATTTAGTATAATTTCGTCATTTTGTTGTTATCACTAATAATTTTGATTTCAATTGGAATCATGTAAATAAATATTTATAATTCATTGTTTGACCAATAAATAAACTTTTGTTTAGCCTATATTCATTACACTTGTTTTATATTCTCATAGAATTCATCATCACTTATTATAAACATTTTCGTGCACAATCTCGTTATCGTTTCTTGAAGTCTACATTCAAATGGTTCACATTGAATTATTCTATCATAGACCGATGGTATCCACCATCTAATGCAAAAGAAAAAACAAGTGATTTTGATGTAATCAAGGTAAATTGTTGAATTGACTATGTGTAAATTTACTTGGAATAAATAATTTATAGTATATCGTGGGGCGGCCAAACCAAAACATGGCAGAAATCTATGAAGTCATTGACGAGTGGACTTAGCCATGTCGGTAATTGTCGACTACCTGGTTGGGGTCCGCGAGATGATAATAATCGATGGTTAGAGACCTTGAATGACATGGCTCAAAATCGTTCGCAATGGCGCCGGTGCATTTATGCTTTGTGTTCCCTCAAATCCTAATCTTCTGGATTCTTCAACACCTAGTTTTGACTTTCTAAACTTTTCTCACTGAATCATACTTCTTGAATAATATCTTCTCATCCTAACTTCTCCGATTACTTTTAATACCCTTACTACCTCTTCTACTATTGGATTTGAATTGACAATTACATCTCTGTGTGCTGATGTGGTATGGCGACATGAACTGATGTACTTACGTACGAAGTTCTACGTTGCATCTGACGTACTGACTGACTGACTGAGTATTTAAATTATATGAATCTATGACAATACTATTGTGTTGTGTAGGTTAACTGTAATATCTTTTGTGTTGAACATTATTTTCTGATGAATATATATACAATAAATCAAAATTATGCCCTATTTATTCATCAGCGAATATCCGTGTCTTTTTCATGAATACATACCTGTTCCATGTTTATTCTCACACCGAGAGAATTGATCTGAAGATATTGTTTGTTCGGTTATTTTTATGCTTTTCTACTACATCAAGTGGCAGGTCAATAGTTTTATATATAGTGGACTATTCAGTCAGTAAGCCACAAGTTCTAATCCAACTTTACCTACATCAGTTTGGTAAAGTAGGTTCTTTTACTAGCGTGGCTTAATGCCAATGATATATTGATCTGTACTTGGAAGTGAGTTATCTGACCGAATGTTTCTAGTCAGTTTACGCTTTAAAAAGAAATCAAATATCAGTAAGCGTACGTATGTACACCACCAGTTCAAGTTGCCATACACAATGATCTAATTGTCAGTTTGAATCCCATAGTGGTGTAACTGTTGTAGAAGTAGTGTCAGTGATGGAGAACATAAGAGTTCGAAGAAATTATTCGAGAAGTTATAATCCAGTGAAATAAATTTTAAGGAGGAAAAAACGGTCATGAGGAATCCAGAAGAATTTAATCCCAGAAAAAACAAAGATTGAATGCTTCTGAGACACTGCAAACGATTTTGAGTCATATCATCTAAAGTCTCTTTAACCAGTGGTAGCTTGTCTCATGTACCTTAACCAGATAGTCTACACCTACTAACGTGGCTCAGTCCATTTTTTTAATCATTTCATAAATTTGTGCTATGATTTGGTTTAGCCGTTCCTAGCTTTCTTCCAGCCTATACCACAAAGCACCGCTGTCGGTGGTTGGGGATACCTTAGACAATGTGCCTACCATCTCAACTGACGAAGATTCACTACATTAATTCATCTGCCATCCTTACCAAGTACTCGTTTCCTAAAGACGGCTTTGCCTACACGATTTGTCCCAGGATATACAAGCGATGTTTCGAGGCCATCTACGATCGAATACTAGTATCATACGAATATGCTCTATTCTATTCTGGTCATGTTTCACGCCCTTATAGTAAAACAGAGCGAACGGCTGCTAATTAGACTCGTATTTTGGTCGGCAGACGGATATCTTGCCTACGCCATAAATGACACAGGTTGGCAAGAGCCGGTCGAGCCTTCTGAATCGGTGCTGAGACTTCGTCAGACACCAGGCCATGAGCACTGAAAAGACTCCCAAGATAGGTGAAGCAGTCAACACGCCCAACTGCTGCACTTCTTATCACTAGGTCAGGTGCCTATGCAAGCCAACATTTTGCATTGTTGCTCAAGGTAGTCAGAAGACTGCATTTTGTCAGCGTCTTCACCAAACAAAACTAAGTCATCGGCATATTTTAAGCGAGTCTCCCGGTAGAAGGTCAACTTAAGAACTAGGTATAGATGTTATCTATTTAATATCAAATTTTATACGGTCTAACTTGACGATGATGTTGTTGTCTTTTAGGTTTATGTTGTAACCCACCTCATTTAGGTGTTGTATTATTTTAAATGAAAATAATGTATCATCTTCTTAATATCAGTTTCTATGTACATTCAAGTCTCTACATTCATCTAACCTTCAAATTAACTCAATGTCCAGTTTCTTCAATCTGTGTGAGTACCATTAATACTACCCCTTGGCTCAGATCGAAACAGGTGAAGCAGGTTCTGAACCTAGGATTTAGTAGCTGAAATTCAAATGCCTTAACCATTAATCCACTTCTTAATGGACACCTGGTTGGATCTTATACTGTCATGGCTCAAAGAACAGATAATTAATACCATCTGCTGCAACTATCCTCAGACAAGTGCCTATTTCTGGCAAATGCCAACTTTAAACATAAGGAACAACATGTTTTGACATGGTAAAATCGACTCAACGCTGAACCAGACTAGATTACATCGCTATCAGCCACCAATAAAGAGGATCTACCGGAAACTGTCGCTCATTCTGCTGCACAGGTTTATATTCAGACCATACTCTAGTACGAGCGCGTATTAGTCGGCAGCTTACTAGACATAAGAAGGACACCACAAAGAAACCTCTTATAGTTCTACTTAACGATAAAAAGCCAAAAGTACATTTCGAGAGCAACTAAAGAAATAGTTAGATAAAAAGCCTACTAAATGATCGTGGGCAGTAGTTGGAAGCGAAGGCAAGAGAGATGGAAAGACGCGTGGTGGTAGTTAACAGTAGACAACTGTTCAGAATTATCATGGAAACTGGTATTAAGAATCCGACTGTTAGTTAGACTCTTTCGGAAGAGGGTGGGCTCATTATTCTTTCTTGATCCAGGAGATTGGGCACAAAATTTCAGCGACAGTTCGACTGGCCTTCAGCCACCATTCAGTTACCCACGATGGCAGTTTGATGTGATCGGTCGCCGTACCCTTAATGAGGTTGAAAAGGCTATAGGCTGTTTGTCTAGTTTTAGCAGTGAAATTGACTGAGATCTTAGTTCGAATCTGGGAACTGGACGTAGTTTCATCTTACTGGTCTTAATAGCTGACTGACAAGATCTATAAAAAAAGACAAAAGTCCTCTTGTGACAATCACAGAGAATCCAGTTTAACTGATGTAAAATTAGCTTCATGAATACTTCAATGCCTAACTTGAGCTTGTGAAGTGCAGATCCGAACAAAGCAGGCTGGTTTCAAACATAGTCGTGGATGTTCACACTTGTTAGGTCCTAGAACACAGACACACTTTTCAACGTTCAACAGTAATTGTATTTCTCGATGTGAAGGCGGCGTTTAGCTGTTGTTCATGAGATTCTGTGGCACTGGAAGATGTATCAAATTAGTAAACTAACTCTGTACAGGTTCTGTACTCAAGATAGTTTTCTAGTGAATGCTAATGATGCTGATTGGTTATTTCAAAAATGAATTAACGTGTATTATTTTTGTAATAGTGAGATTTCGATTAACAATAGGACTGCAACCCAGTGCTTTTCAATTCAGATGGCAAGTTTTTATTCACTTAGCTAATGAGTCCAAGTAGCTACTTTTGTGTTTAACAACGATTATGTTTGTATCGTTATTACTAATATTGTTACAGCTCATGTCATTATTCCTAAACTTTGAACGTCTGAGAATAGAGAAGAATAATAGATAAATTCATATTCTTGTCCCATTTGCTTTGTTCGAATTCTATGACAAAGTGTTAGTGCAAAGAGTATTCACCTGACATAGTTATGCCCTGTCGCACCTCGTTGAGTTTAGTTCATCGGCAAGCAATCTCTTCTCACCAGCTCCGGTTAGGAAACGAGTACTAGGTAAGGATGGCAGATCAATCGATGAAGTGGTGAAACTTCATCAGTTGAGGTGGTTGGGACATGTCTTGCGTATGCCGAACCACCGACTGCCTCGACGAACTTTGTTTTGTAGTGTAGGAGTAGGTTGGAAGAAAGTTAGGGGCGGCCAAACCAAAACATGGCACAAATCCATGAAGTCATTGACTAGTGGACTGAGCCATGTCGGTAATTGTCGACTACCTGGTTGGGGTCCGCGAGATGATAATAGTCGATGGTTAGAGACCTTGAATGACATGGCTCAAAATCGTTCGCAATGGCGCCGGTGCATTTATTCTTTGTGTTCTCTCAAATCCTAATCTTCTGGATTCTTCAACACCTCTAGTTTCGACTCTCTAAACTTTTCTCACTGAATCATACTTCTTGAATAGTATCTTCTATTCTTAACCTCTCCGATTACTTCTAATACCCTTACTACCTCTTCTACTATTAGATTTGAATTGACGACTACTTCTCTGTGCTGATGTGGTATGGCAACCTGAACTGATGTACTTATGTACAAAGTTCTACGTTGCATCTGACTGACTGACACCAGCTCCGGTTAGCATTTCCAACAAGTTTGTTTTCAACAATGTGGGATCGCTCACCACATGCCCAATTCTCTTTCTTTATCAGGGCTTGGTACCTTGTAGTTATACTGGATGAGATCCAGGTGGCATTGTATTTACACTTAGTACAGTTTAAATTACGCAAATTACCTCTATACTGTATAGATAAGTGAGTTTAACTAGCTTGTTATCATGACATTATATAATTCTGTTAACGTTTAAAATTCAATTTTCACTCTCTATATAAGCTGAAGTTAAAGAGTTTCTCAATTCTAGATATTCAATCTCAACAAAACGGATATATTAAACTTTATTCAAAACTTATCTAATATCAGTCAAATAAAATCGGTTTCACCACAAAAACAAATAAGTCGTGTTCTTCTAAACTATGGTACAAATGATGAAGTATCTCTGCATAATTGTAAGTTAATGATGTTTAATTTTTGTGCTGGTGATTTTTCTTGTTAATAAAAATGAATTGGATTTTTGAATTATATGTATCATTCAATAGTGACTCAAAATGCCTTAGCACATAACCAAAGGCGTGGAGAGTTCATTCTCTCTCTGTCTGTGATCGATTTCATATAATAATAAGTTTATAATCTATTGTAAGGAAGCCTACTCACTTCCTTCACACTAGACAAAGATGTTTTTGAGGAAGTGATTGGATGGAAAGTGAATTTCTTTCATTCATGCCAGATTAATGGTTATGGAAAATCCATCTAAGAAGGTTGGAAAGTACTGATTTTTAACCAATCGAATAGATGTACTTTAGAATCCTGTGAGAATGAATTATGTAATAAACAGTTTTGCTCGTCAGCTAACATAAATTGATTTTTATTCAGCTTGTTGCATTTTCTCATGAACTTTACACTTAAATCAAAGGTTCAAGGAATGAATGAACTCGTAATAAACTAACTACTTGCCTCGCTTTTCCTTCCGTACATGAACAAAACAGCCGTTTACTGGATACCATAAATTATGCATAGGAAAAGCAAGAAATTCATTGAGAATTTTATTTGAAGTCCGTAACCAATAAAATTTCATGTACTTTTTTTTATTCAGCCACATTTGAATGCACTACAGTGTCTCAATCAATCATCGATCAATACCAACGTAGAACTTCGTACGTACGTACACCAGTTCATGTTGCTATACCATATTAGCACAAAAATGTAGTTGTCAATTCAAATCTAGTAGTAGTAGAGATAGTAAAGGTATTAGCAATAGTCGGGAGAGGTTAGGATTAGAAGATATTAGTCAAGAAGTAGAAACTAGTGAAGTAGACTTAAAAAGATAAGCATAAAGTGATGAAGCATTAAAAAGTTTAGGATTTGAGAGAACACAATGAATGAATGCACTGGCGCCACTGCAAACCGTTTTGAGCCATGTCATTCAAGGTCTCTAACCATCGATTATTATCATCTTGTGGACCCCAACCAGGTAGTCAACACCTATCGACCTAACTCAGTCCACTTGTCAATGACTTCATGGATTTCTACAATGATTTGGTCTAGCCGCCCTTAGCTTTCGTCCAACCTATTCTTACACCGCAATATTTAGTTCGACGAGGCAGTCGAACTCAACCTCAACTGATGAAGTTTCAATATTTCATCTGTTGATCTACCATTCTTACGTAGCACTCGTTTCCTAATCCACCGGTTGGAGAAAACTGGTGGGCGGCCTATGCTCGATTGGGGGTAACAGGCATAAGTAAGTAAGTACTCGTTTCCTAATAACAGCGGTGCTCACTCGGGTGTCCCACGATATACGAGCAATGCTTCGAAGACACCTATGATCGAAAACCAATAACCTACGAATATCTTCTACTCTCACTGGCCATGTTTCACAGCCATAAAGTTAGACGGAGCAAACTACTGCACAGTACACTCGTCCTTTAGTCAGCAAACGGATATCTCGCCTTCGCCATAATTGACGCAGGTTGGCAAAAGCCAATCTAGCCTTGTGTTTCCATGCTGAGATTTCGTCAGTCACCAGGCTATCAGCACTGATGAGACTCCGCAGATAAGTGAAGCGGTCTACGCATTCGACTACTTCACTACCAATCACTAGTTCAGGTGCCGATGCAACCGAATCTTGAAGCAACATTTTGCATTTCGAGGGTGAGAACCGCATCCCGAACATGCTTGCATTGTTGCTTAGGGTGGTCAGAAGACTCTGCATTTTGTCAGCGTCTTCACGGAATAGAACTAGGTCAACATATTCTAAGTCAACCAATGATTCTCATCGTAGAACGTCTACTCCTGAAAATTCAGACGACGTTAACTTAACATCTAGGAGCATATCTATGACAAAATTGAAGAAGAATGAGGAGAGTGGACAACCCTGACGTACACCGCCTGCAGTAAAGAATTCCGGTGACAGTTCGCCATAAGCTGTCACTTGATTAGTAGTTTTAGACTAGAGAGCTTGTATGAGGTTATGGTTATCCTAACACGAACAACAAAAAAATGATCACTGATTTTTTTTTCTAATTTTGAGGAAACTTTATTTGTGATTGTTTTGAAAGTAAAATTTACTAAAATGTGATGCGTAGTTTTTTTTTTAATCTGCAATTACAATGATAATTCCTGCGTTCAAATATTAACTTTTTAGCTAGTCGTCATTCAAATTCAAGACGAAATTTAAAATTGGTATGTAGTTTGTTTTATGCATTGATAATTATTGTGTGTGTGTGTGTGTATGTTTGTGTTTCATTTTTTTAATCTTTGTATACCTCGGTGGTTTAGTGGATGCATGGAATAGTTGAATGAAGTAAACCAACAGATTTAGTGCATAGTTTGAATTGATTGACTGAAATCACATTAATCACTTTCAAGTAGCATATATATACATATCGAATCCTGCTAGGTGCAGGAGTCGTGGATACGCACTGTTGATGAGTCCCATATTAGAACAAAATGGCCGTCCAGTGCTTCCAGGTTTCTCTAATGGTGGTCTAACAATGATTGATTGATGATTTCAAATGTGTAAAAAAACACTAACCTCCATAACCCTGACTGAAAAATATATATAAATACATAATATAATAGTTCATTTTAAAACTACCTCTTCTGTTCTTTACATTAATCAGTTTGGAAATTCACATAAATCTTCATCTGGAACATTACCATTGGATCCATTGAAACAGGTAATTCTTGCTGTTATTATTATTATTATTATTATCATTATTATCATTATGTCACATCATGAACTGATGATAGCGTACTGAAGAAAAGAAAAATTACCCGAACATTAACGATGTGACACTGCAATTTGAATGGAGGAGCAGATGAATTTTATGTAGAATACAACAACGAAAGAAAGTCTTACAATGATGATGAATTACTTCAATATGGACATTTAGAATAAACATTATCAGTATAGATGGTAGAAAAAAATGTTGTTGTAGTTCAGGTGGAATGATTGTGGTGGTGGTGTTTGGTTCTGTGAACTGGATGTTTTGGTTGTGGAGCTTCCTTCATTGTTCTTCTTCTGAACAACATCATCGTCAGCACAAACTTCAGATGGAAGTGAAGAGTATTCGAATTTCTCCACTGCTGACCCGTAGCTTGTTCTGTGAACCTCGCTCTTGATTGGTTGTTGTTATTGACCTTAAATCTGTTGTTGTTTGCACCTTTGTTTTGATTGTATCCCTCTTTTGATCTGTTTCTTGATCCTATGTTCGCCAATGATTTTTTTGATTTGTTCATAAATTGTCTCAATGTTGACGTGTTTGTTGATTGCTGATTGACCTGAATGCTAAGCTTCTAAAAATTCTCCAATGTTCTTTATGCTTCTCCTATCCAGTATATTTCCACATTGTTCCAATCGAATGTATGTGCATAATTGAGATGGTGGAGGAAATTTGAAGCTCAGATGGATGATATTTTGGTTGTGTAACATCTCACTGTCCTTCTGAACAACATTGTTGGAACAAACTTTAGATAAAAGTGAAGTATTAGCATTTCTACATGTACAACTTATAGCTTATTCTGTTCACCTCGATCTTGATTGACTGCTATTGATCCCAAAACCTGAATACGCTACGAGTCATAAGTGGAGAAATTCAAATAGTTCACCTCTATATGAAGTTTATGCTGATAATGTTGTTGTTCAGAAGAAGAAGAACAATGAAGGAAGCTCCACAACCAAAACATCCAGCCAGCTCAGGGGACGAAACACACCATCACAATTATCAGTATAGGTTTAAGCTGTTTTCAAATACAGCGAAATAAAACCCAATCAAACTTATTATCTATCTATGCCTAAAAGTTCATTGAATCTCAATGCTTCTTTTCTAGACAAAATTTGATGTAAAACCAGATAAAGGGTTGAATGGAGATCAATAATAAAATTTGTTTTCAATTAGACGTTCATAATTAATTATAATAATAGTAGTTCAATCATTCTACGCCAGTACTAATAGACACACACTTCCCATGTGATGATGAAGTTAACTCCAATCTTAAATGAACAATAGCTGAAAAGCGATAGATTGCTGAAACGAACCAGAATATACATATATACACATACATTGGTATGTATCAATATATTTTTGAAACCATGGATCGATCAATGTTAGACCACCATTAGAAACCTGGAATCACTGGACGGCCGTTTCGTCCTCGTATGGGACTCCTCAGCAGTGCGCATCCACGACTCCTGCATCCCGCAGGATTCGAACCCAGGACCTTCGGTATTGTGCGCGAACGCCCTAACCGTTAGGCCACTGAACCGGTATCTAACAGTGTTAATGTCTAACTTGATCAAAGTCACGGAGTTGCGCAACCTCATACACAGTCTTCGGTAGTTACTGTCTACACCCGAACAGGTTGAACTTCACTGGTCACGTCTTCCCACTAGAACTCGTCCCATACCAGGACGAAACTGCCGTCCAGCGCTTCCAGGTTTCTAATGGTTGTGGTCTAACATTGATCGATTCATGGTTTCAAAAATGTGTAACTCACCAATCTTCACAACCCCTGTAATGTATCAATATATATCACCAAAGTAATTCAGCCGATTTGCGATGCGATCGCGTGCGTTCATTGTTACCGCTCAGCTTCGAACTAATTCGTGCACAGATGCATATGCTTTTTGAAATAAAATAAACAAAATTGATACTTGAGATTATCATAGAACTTTGTATGTTTGTTTATCTTTGCTTTGTTTTAAAATTAGCCATGGAAATTATTACAAGCAGACTATGCTTGGTCTCGTGGTCTATGTGGTGAAGGTGTACGTGTGGGTATATTTGATACTGGACTGGCATCAATTGATCATAAACACTTTTTATTCAGTAATATTATTGATAGAACTGATTGGACAGTAGATATAAGCAATGTAAGTTATTGTTGTACATATTATGATGAGTAAGCAATGCTGTTGTTAAAAAAAAACGAGTATGGTGGAGAAAATTTGTAGCTCAGGTGTGGTGGATGATTGTGGTGGTGTTTCGTTCTCTGAGCTCAGAAAACGAGTACTAGGCAAGGATGGCAAATCAGTAGATGAAGTATTCAATGTTCATCATTTGAAGTGGTTAGGACATTTGTTACGAATGCCCAATTACCGACTGCCTCGTCGAGTGATGTTTTACGGTGTAGGAGTAGGTTGGAAGAAATGCAGGGGTGGCCTAAGCAGAACATGTCAGAAATCCATTAAGGCACTGACTTGTGGACTGAATCATGTTAGTAGATGTGGACTACCTGGTTGGGGTCTGCGAGATGATAGTAATCGACGGTTAGAGACCTTGAATGACGTGGCTGAAAACCGTTTGGACTGGCGCAGGTGCATCCAGTCAGTCACTCAGTTGCAACGTAGAACTTCGTACGTACCTACATAAGTTCATGTTGCCTTACCAAATTAGCACAGAGACGCAAATATCAAATCAAATCCCATAGTGATAAAGATAGTAGAGGTATTAATGGTAATGAAGAAGACAAGGGTTTGAAGATATTATTCAAGAAGTATAGCTCAGTGAGATAAGGTTAGAAAGACAAAGGTAGAGGTGTTGACGAATCCAGAAGATAAGGATTTGAGAGAGCTCAATCAATGAATGCACTTGCGCCACTGCAAACGATTTTAAGCCATGTCGTTCAAGGTCTCTAACCATTGGTGACTTTCGCTTCGCGGACACCAACCAGATAGCCTACATCTACCAACATGACTCAGTCCATTTGTCAGTGACTTCATGGTTTTGTGCCATGTTTTGTTCTGGCCGCTCCTACCTTTCTTCCAACCTACTCCTACACCAAAAAACAAAGCTCGTCGCGGCAGTCGGTGGTTTCGGCATACACGTAACACGTGTCCCAACCACCTCAACTGATGAAGTTTCACCACTTCATCTATTGATCTGCCATCCCTATCTAGTACTCATTTCCTAAAGACAGCATTGCTTACGAGCAATGCTTCTTAAACATCTATGATCGAATACTAGTAACCTACGAACATCTACTCTTAGCGGCCATGTTTCATAGCCGTATAGGAGAACGGAGCGAACTGCTGCGCAGTACACTCGTCCTTTGGTTAGCGAACGGATATCACGCCAACGCCATGAACGGCGTAACTTGGCAAAAGCCAATCGAGCTTTCTGTATCCGAGCTGAGATTTCGTCAGTCACCAGGCTATCAGCGCTGATAAGACTCCCCAGATAAGTGAAGCGATCAACACGCTTGACTACTTCACTCCGTATCACTAGTTCAGGTGTCGATGCAACCCAATCTTGAAGCAACTTTTCGCATTTCGAGGGTGAGAACCGCATCCCGAACATGCTTGCTTTGTTGCTTATGGTAGTCAGGTGCATCCACTCTTTGTGTTCTCTCAAATCCTAACCTTCAGAGTTCGTCATCCCCTTTATCTTTTTCTTCTTAAATTTATTTCACTAGATTCTACTTCTTGAATAATATCTCCGAACCCTTAGATTTCCGATTACTGTTAATACTTTTACTACCTCTACTACTATGAGATTCGAATTGACAATCGCATCTCTGTTCTAATGTGGCATGGCATCTTGAACTGATATACGTACGTACGTACGAAGCTCTATGTTGTTGTTGACTAAATGTCTCAGTGATTATGAAATTCTAATTACATTCCGGTTGATTTGTAAAAAAGATACCAAATGCATCGAACTCGATAGTTGAGTAGACATTTTCACCTACATTACTGTAATTAACATAGTTTTATGCAACAGTTTGTAGTGTAATACCATGTAACTTTCCCAAAAGAAATGTAGCTGAATAGGTTTTGAACTTTTCCAGCACCAAATGGTTTAACCTCTTAGTTATCATTCTAATGAACATTCTTTTGACATTGATGTCGAACTGTGACAATATTGATTGTATAAGTACACATCTGTAAAGTTAAACATCTGCAATGTTTTATCGGCTCACGTCTGGACTCCAGTGTGGACGAATGATTGAGTGTGCAAAGTCACATACATAGGCAATTGACGTTTGTGCGACAAAGGTAGTAAGAAGCAAACTACGGTTTCATGGATGAAATTATTTCATACAATCGTTGATGCAGACAAACTTGAGAATAAGAAAGTGTACAAGCAAAACCTAGTGAATCGGAAGAGGCGAGTGAGTCAACTGTTAGAATATTCTAAGAGATTTATTGGTCAAATCCTATTAGTCGATTTCTATTGGTCAAAATTATGGTCGTTTTAACTATCAAAGTCAAATACTTCAATGTCGTCTCTTATTGGTCATCCGGACTGTCAATGTCATTTCAAATGTTCTTTCCTATTGGTCGTCTTAACTGTCAGTGCCACATAATTCGACGCTGTTTCCTCCTATTCGACCAAAAAGGTATAAATACGCATAATCTGTAACATTTTATGACCACGATCAGGACCAGGACCCGGTCCCTGATCCCTTGTCAGGGATCCTGTTTCTCTTCTGCATTCGGACCTCGTACTTTCTGGATGCTTGTAGATTACAGATTCTACTTCATATCACGTCTTCTTATTTTCACTGAATATGGGGGTTGGGATAATCGGATTTGAATTAGCACGTCGTGTCACCGGATCCTCGATCCTCGCTCTCGTTTTCCGACCAAAGGTAAACTCGTAATAGTTCAAGTATATCAAGTTGACGTGTTTACGTGCAGGCGTAACATCAACCCTGTATGCACTGAACAATAACTAAGTATTTATAGTCAGACATCCACACACAGTCACATATACCATAATCGATACTGACAATAATATTAGGTATTTTGATTCCCATAATACTCAAGTTGATATTATTTATTGGATTTTAAAAAAATATTTTGAAAATTATTCTCTCTCTGTCTCTTACCTTTAGAAATCTTATTCTGATGCTATTAATAATAATAATAATAATGATCATATTGAAGCTTTAGATCGACATGGTCATGGAACTTATGTGACAGGTTTAATTGCTGCAAAAAATCCTAATTTATATGATTCAAAATTTATGAATTCTTTTCACGAATCATCATATACAACACATAGCAATTGTCCACCTTGGGGATTTGCACCAAATGCAGATTTATTTATATTTCGTGTATTCACTGGTACACAAATATCATATACTTCATGGTTTTTAGATGCATTCAATTATGCTATAAGTAAAAAATTGCATGTTATCAATCTTAGTATTGGTGGACCAGATTTTTTAGATAAACCTTTTGTTGATAAGGTTAGTTAATTGTGAAGATTTTTTTGTTTGTTTGTGATGTGTTTTGTTTTTATTTAAGTGAGGATTGTTTAAAGGTGGTTAGATTTTTTTCGTTTGTTTCATTTCTAATATCATCTGGAGGTTCGTAATATAATGTGGTCTATAAAAAATATAGAGAACTTTTAAAGGTTATAGATACCTTCAAGGTGTCCCGACCGTAGCTGTGCTGCTACCTTGACGTGGTGGTCGGGCTTGCCTATCGTGATGACCCAACCGAGCTATATTGGCTGGAACATATGTTCCTGCAGGTTCTACCATGCCAGGCAGGTCGATTGGAGAACGATGAGACTAAAAGCAGCTACTCAAGGTCTGAGGGCGAAGTCGTACTGCTGACTGCAGAGGGGTGTGATAGCAGTAAGGTGTTTCTCTCGGACAACCATCATCTGCAGCGATGCTGTCTTCTCACAAGGAAGGAAGGGTTAGAAAAGGTCGGCCCTAAAAATGTCACACCTCCCCTACCTCACGGATTTCCGTCTCCTTGGGTAAGGGTGCTCACTAAGGGCCTTTAAGAACGGAGCTAATCCTCTAAATACCTCATAAAAAGGCCGTGCGTGACCGGCCTCAAGCAGTTGTCTCTTGGGCTCTGCGGTCACGCACCAACACTAATCGATCTTCCTTTTCAGGTCCCTCAAGAAACAACCTTCTACGGTGTGGGCAGCCGGGAAGTGACAACCGCCCCCATACCCGTAACAGCACACGAGACCGTCTACTCACATTCCCTTACCTCACTGCACCGCTAATGCAAACGAAGCAAGTTCACGAAACGTTATTCCTAGTCTCTTTAAGCATTGAATCGTAGGGCAGAACAATCTCTCCTAGACTGGATCCCTGTAGATAGTCGCTTGTGCGCCGTCCGACTAAACTGGACAGTAAGGATTCAGAAGGATAGGTACACTCGTCGTTACCTCTTCGTCATATTAACCTACGCCCCAACTGACTGCAGTTCAAACTATGTAAAAGATGAGTTTTACAGAAAGCTTTCGGACCTCCTCCAGTCGCTAATTGTCCCAAGCCTCAAGAAAGGACAAAAGTCCTCTTGTGACAATCGCAGGGGAATAAGTTTAACTAATATAGTTTCTAAATTGTTAGCCTCAGTAATACTTCGACGCTTAACGAAAGCTCGTGAAGAGCAGACTAGAGAAAGCCAGGCTGGTTTTCGACCTGGACGTGGCTGTATAGACCACATTTTCACACTACGTCAGGTCCTGGAACACAGACACACATTTAGGCGTCCTACAATAGTTGTTTTCTTGGACCTAAAAGCCGCATTCGACTCAGTGGATCGTGAGTTTTTGTGGCAGTGTCTGTCATTGAAAGGTGTACCAAAGAAGTACATTAACCTTATACAAGCACTGTACTCGAAAATTACTGGTCGGGTGAGAGCTTATGGTGAACTATCATCTGAATTCTCTACATCAAGTGGTGTCCGTCAGGGCTGTCCACTGTCCCCATTCTCGTTTAACGTTTAACGTAGGAATGGCAAATCAATAGATGAAGTACTCAAAGTTCATCAGTTGAAGTGGTTGGGACATGTGTTACGTATGCCTAACCACCGCGACGTGCTGTGTTTTTTGGTGTAGGAGTATGTTGGAATAAAGCTAGGGGTGGCCAGAACAAAACATGGCGGAAATCCATGAAGTCACTGACAAGTAGACTGAGTCGTGTTGGTAGATGTAGGCTATCTGGTTGGGGTCCGCGAAGCGAAAGTCACTGATTGTTAGAGACCTTGAACGACATGGCTCAGAACCGCTTGCTATGGCGCAAGTGCACCCATTCATTGTGCTCTCTCAAATCCTAATCTTCTGGATTCGTTAGCACCTCTATCCTAGTCTTTCTAACCTTATCTCACTGAATCATACTTCTTGAATAATATCCTCAAACCCTAGTCCTCTTCATTACCATTAATTCTTCTACTATCTCTATCACTATGGGATTTGATTTGAAATTTGCGTCACTGTGCTAATGCGGTTTGGCACTCTGAACTTATGTACATAAGTACGAAGTTCCACGTTGAAACTAACTGACTGACTGAATCATATTAGCACGAAACAATTGTTCAATACTTCTCGGTTTTTAAAAAATGTCTGACTAAAATTAGTCTGTTTTGTAAGCCTCAAATATATGATTCCCCCTAACCCTGATGCCATTATACTGCTCTCTTCATTTTCCTTAACATTGCGTAATCTCGTGTAGTGAGTGCTGTTATGTTTAGTTCACAGGTCTCGTCCTAATTTTTAGACAAATTAATCAGTTCACTTATCTGTTTACCTTGTCATTCATTCGTTCATATCTGCGTTACTGTTATTTATGTGTATGTGCACACCCTACAACGAATTGAATAGCGTAACAAAGTGTTAATCCCGACATTGAATCAAACACAGCCAACACTCGTACTTAGAGTACAACAGAAATATCTGTAGAGTTCGTCACTAGGTACGCTTGAAGCTATTATGAATTCACTGCTCCGTGGTGTGAAAAATTCCCCAGGCAGACGCAATGTCGTGCCGTATGCCTATTTAGCGGCGGAAACTTGAATATCTGCCTTTAAGCTCGTTCTGATGCCTAGGAGGATGAGCGGTAAGGTTTCGTACCAATTGTTGTTTTCGTGTGCTCGAAGAGCGTTTTTGAGTTGGCGATGAAAACTTTCGACTAAACCATTCGAAGCTGGGTGGTAGGCGCTAGTGCGTATGCGCTCCGTACCAAGCAGCCGAGTTGGCAAGAAAAATATTTCGGACACGAATTGTTGTCCTCGGTTGATAAGTTCGTCACTTAGCATGCTTGTGGCTATTACGAGTTAACCTTAGTCGATAAACGCGAACGAGACAATTACCAGCGTCCAGATAGGCTACCTTGATTCCCAAGCTTAAGATAGAAGGCTTTGTAAGCGTAGAAAGTATATTCTACAAACACCCAGCAATCACAATACAATCAAGCACACAACTCTCGTTTATTTATACATCATAGAAACGTCCTTGAGACAGTTAAGAAAATAGCACACTAAAATACACAGCAGCCAATCACAGCCATGGATTTTCCTGGTGGGAAATGAAATCTCAAGGTCAACTGATCAGCCCATTCTGGCAAACGTGAAATCCAAAGTAAGGCATTTATCAAGCGAGTTTTGGGGATCTAACATCCCTGACAATATCAAAGGCCAAAACAAATACATGATGTATCAAATGATAATATAATTTCCTTCTTTCTTTCAATAACCATGATAGTTTATATCAACTCATTCTCATTCGAACTCTATAAGTCAGCGTTGTGTGCTATGGACAGCGATAAGAAATCATAGAAACTTTATATATTTCCTACTTGTTACAATTTATTGATTAGTAATATTATGTCTTGTTAATTTAGCTTCCAGGTTTCTAATGGTGGTGGTCTAACATTGATCGATTCATGGTTCCAAAAAATGTGTAACTTAACAATCTTCACAACCCCTTAATGCAAATTAACTGTGCTCACTAGTGACTAGCTTGGTGAGGAATCTTCTCCGAGTTCTAGTGGGAAGACGTGACCAGTGAAGTTCAACCTGTTCGGGTGTAGGCAGTGTCTACCGAAGACTGTGTATGAGGTTGCGCAACTCCGTGAATTTGATCGAGTTAGACATTAACACCGGCTCAGTGGTCTAACGGTTAGGGCGTTCGCGCACAATACCGAAGGTCCTGGGTTCGAATCCTGCGGGGTGCAGGAGTCGTGGATGCGCACTGCTGAGGAGTCCCATGCTAGGACGAAACGGCCGTCCAGTGATTCCAGGTTTCTAATGGTGATGGTTTAACATTGATCGATTCATGGTTTCAAAAAATGTGTAACTTAACAATCTCCACCACCCCATCATGCAGTTTAGTAACATTATTATTATTATTATTATTATTATTATTATTATCATTATCAAGGTGTTAGAGCTATCTGCCAATGGAATATTATTAGTTTCTGCAATCGGTAATGATGGGCCGTTATTTGGTACATTAAATAATCCAGCTGATCAAATGGATGTATTAGGCGTTGGCGGTGTCGATGCATTAGGTCGTGTTGCACGATTTTCTTCACGTGGAATGACTGCTTGGGTAAGTCCTGAAAGGTTTTCCTCATGCAAAAGAAAAACATAACTTTTTTTAACCGTGTGACTGAACTGTTTCAATTATGAGTTGGTGAATTGCCAAATTAATTCAACGCAACGCAGAGATGAAGTTTTGATGGTTTTTTATGAATAAGATTAACGAGACGGACAGTTCTCTTGTTAGAATTTACTTTCAACAAAGTTTTGAACATTATTAGAATTGTAAGCAGAATTGGTTGTTTGCCATAAGTGATAAGTATTTATAACATGAATTATTTATGCATAGTACCATTGTCATGAACGAAAACGTCGAGGTCAGATGATATAGTAATGTATTTAAAAAGTGTTGTAACGCTTGCTTAAATAATTCCCAGCTAAATCCTATTGCTTAGTATTCTCTGACCACAATACACTGGACAAGTTCCCAGGAATCAAAACACGGTTGAACAGGAAAGATTATATTCCAAATAGCAAAGTTAAATGGAAATAAGAAGCCAAAGGTGATGGCGACGGCGAAAATAGATACAACGTTAGTTTATTTATAGCATTTACATGAGAAGCTTCTGGATAGATATTCACGTGATCGACTGGATTAGATTTAACCAATCAGTACGCAGCTAACAGTACGAGAATCTTCTACGTGTTCTCCAAGATTCGATCAGACGCTGATTGGATAGGAAATTAGCCAATCAGCGCGCAGCAACGTAGTCATGCTTTAATTTAATCTATGTCCCACTAACAGAAAAGACACAGTTTACAAACAAAACATGCGCACCTAGTCGTCACACTTCTATTCAAAAAAACAAAACAAGCAGATTATTGGCAGTCTTTTTATCTGCAAAACACTTTGATCGTGTCAATAATAGCTTTTGAGTAACACTCAACTTCATTCTACACACTCTCTCTCACCATTGTTTATCAGAGGATATTGAATATTCTTTAGTTTATTTTTCTTCATATTGTTCTTTTCTTTCACATTCACGATGTGTTCATCAATCCAGGAGCTCCCGACTGGTTATGGACGTGTAAAACCAGATATAGTTACTTTTTCCACTGGTGTTATCAGTTCTAGCCTAGATGGACAATGTCGTGTACTGTCTGGAACTAGTGTAGCATCACCAATTGTAACAGGAGTTGTTAGTTTATTAATTAAGTAAGTAAAATTGTATGTTTTGTTGTATAAGGATGACAAGTCAGTGGATGTAGTAGGGAAAAGTTGTCAGTTAAGGTGGTTGGGATATACGTTACGAATGCTAAACCACTGACTGCCTCGACAAGTGATGATGCCTGGTGTGAGGAGTAGGTTGGAAGAAACCTAGGAGTGACCAAACCAAAAATGGCACAAATCCATGAAGTCACTGACAATTGGATTGTGTCATGTTGGTAAGTGTAGACTACCAGGTTGGGGTCCACGAGATGATAGTAATCGATACTTAGAGACCTTGAATGACATGGCTCAAAACTGTTTGCGATGGTGCAGGTGTGCATCCACTCTTCGTATTCTCTCAAATCGTAATCTTCTGAGTTCGTCATGACCATCTTTTCTGTTTTTTTAAATGATTCCTCGAATGATATGTTCGATCGTTAATCACTTTGATTTCCGCCAATACTTATACTACCTCTGCTACTACGAGATTCGAATTGACAATTGCATCTCTGTGCTATAGTAGTATGGCAACTTGAACTGATGTACGTACCTACGTACGTACGTTGTAACTGACTGACTGTTGTATAACAATTGACATTTTTTTTCTTCAAACGTTATTGTATCGTTAATGTTAACACATCCGTTGGTCTACAGCAATTTCTTTGCTATGCCAAATAAAATGAAATGTGATACTTCATCATATCCACACTCACATCGGTGTATTGCTTAGACGATGGATTTTTACAGTTTACATTTTCATCATTGTAGTTTGCTTCTCTTATTCTGTATTTTATCGGTCTTTAGCATCAGTCATTAAAATTATTATATCTTACTGATTCAATCTTGTAATCTTTAATTACTACTCACTAGTCAGTTCGAAATATTTTTCAGTTGATTCTCGCTTTTTGATGCTCTGTATTGATTAATCAGTCAATTGTATGCTTTTGATATTTAAGTAATATAGTCACACATGTATGAATAAGTTATTACATCACACTTCTCATTGTACTGTATATCATTCAACGTATGTAGAAAGCAATCAAGTCAACTGCATAACTCATTCAATGTTTTGTTTGAAAGAGACCATTAAACTATGAGTGACAGGATTGATTCACATCAATACTGAGGATTCATGTATGTATTATCAACTGATGAATCCAGTATAAGATAATGTACAACTGCTAATCATCATCCACTCATCTGTTAGGATATTCATCTAATATCCTAAAAGAATTATTGGTCAATTCCTATTGGTTGATTTCTATTGGTCAATTTTTTGATCGTCCTAGATATGAATGTCACGTGCTCCAATGTTGTTTCTTATTGGTGGTCCTGACTATCAATGTCACTTCAAATGTTGCTTCCTATTGGTCGTCTCAACTGTCAATGTCACAGACTTCGGTGCTGTTTACTATTCGGTCAAAATGTATAAATACGCATTGTCTGTAATGTTTTATGACCACGACCAAGACCAGGATCCCTAGTCCGGTATCCTCGTACTTTCTGAATGCTTGTAGAACACAGGTTCTACTTCATACCAAGTCTTCTTATTGTTTACTCAAAATGCAGGGGTTGGCATAATCGGATTTGAGTAGCATGTCGTGTCGCCAGATCCTCGTTCTCGTTTTCCGACTAGGTAAACTCGTAATAGTTCAGGTATATCAAGTTGACGTGTTTACGCGCAGGCATAATACCACCTTACTTAGAACCTAATAGGCGGGTGGGGAATATCAATACAATCCCATTTATATGATGTACATCATATTGATAATTCCATGTAAAAAATCAATAATAATTTGGCATAGATATTCTATTGTTTTTTTGTTTGACATTAATTTTCAGTGCTGCTTTAAATCATAATGCCAAGTTATTGCATCACAGAAATGACAGTCATATTGCTGCAGACAATAATTATCCATTAGTACCTATCAATCCAATCAGTATTAAACAAGCTTTACTAGCCAGTGCAAATCGTCTCGATTCAATACGTGTATTTGGTACAAATTCAATTAAATGGTTACAAGAAACCGATCAAAGTAGTATGTTTGAACAAGGTGCTGGTTTAGTAAATCTTCAATCTGCTCTAGAGGTAGACAATTAATTTTTGCATGCATTGAATTCATTTGAAATAGTTGAACTGTACCTAACTGTCTGTACTTAATAGGGTTCTATGTTATAGCTGACTGACTAACAATTAACATTCTTTGAGGTATATTATTTCATGTCATGTACACAAAACTGTATAGTTGCATACTAGACTAAATTGACTGTAATATCTTTGATGTATGAGAGTTGGTTCGCGAAATCTACGCTACACGAATGCATTGCTTAGTATTATAATCGTGAAGAACTTGAAAAAGCTTCAAATGTAATCGGCAGTCTCAAAGTTACTGTTAACTATGGGACTGGAACTCTGAGATACAGTTAAATTCAGTTGACAAGTGCTAAATATATATATATCATAGACTCTATTGCTAGCCCCACTATCCATCTCTACCTATAACCTGAAATCAATATCGAGTTAATCCGCACAGGATGATCATATATATGAGAAACTTATCGATTACAGTCCACATTACATATGTATGGTTTTATACCATTGAAATGCAAAATCTATGGGAATCCAACCAGCTGTAATCTTTATGCATCGATAGATCTCTGGAACGATGTTCATCGAAAACACAATTTAACCATCGAAGTTAATGATAGAGTGACTATCAGATGAATTTTCATGACCGTTAGAATACACTGTTTGACGTCATAATTATTAAAATGTTCATTCTTCTTGCAGTAAAATAGGTAGTTTTTCGAAGAGAGCAATGATCAAAGATGGTGACTTACTTAACATCTGCATCTTAAAGAAGTCCTTGTTTCACAACTGTAGAGTGTAACTCTGATCTCAACAACTAATTTCATATCTGACATTTTGCAATTAGACTGACATCGTGAAAAATGACAAAGAATGATATAAACTAGTTCTGGATTTCACTATGTTATAGATAATTTTAGTAGTATTCAGTTAACTTTGGAGATAGATGTTAGGATATTTGATGAATATCCTAAAAAATTATTTTGTAAGTCCGTCAGTTCAAATCCAAGAGTGATAGTAGAAGTATTAGCAGTAATGGAGAAGATTAGGGAGCGAAGATATGATTAGAAAAGTATAATTCAGTGAGATAAATTTAGAAGGAGAAAGACAGGATTATGAGGAATGCAGAAGGTTAGAATTTCATAGAGCACAAATAGTGGATGCACCTGCTCCATCGCAAACGATCCTGAGCCATGTCGTTCAAGGTCTCTAACCATTGGTGACTTTCTTATCGCGGACCCCAACCAGGTAGCCTACATCTACCAACATGACGCAGTCCACTTTTTAGTGACTTCATGGTTTTGTGCCATGTTTTCGTTTGGCCGCCCCTAGCTTTCGTCCAACGTACTCCTACACTGCAAAACATAGCTCGTCGAGGCAGTCGGTGGTTTTGGCATACGTTACACATGTCCCAACCACCTGAACTGATGAAGTTTCAATGCTTCATCTATTGATTTGCCATCCTTACCTAGAACTCGTTTCCTAACGCCAGCATTGCTTATACAGTTGTCCAATGTTACACGAGCAATGCTTCGGAGACATCGATGATCGAAGACTAGTAACCTACGAAAGTCCTCTACTCTTGCCCTTGGGACGCTCGGATTAGATTAGCCTATCGTGTCACTGGATCATTTATCTTAGCTCTCTCATTTACCGACGAAAGTGAACTTGTAATAGCATTCAAGCATTATCAATTGTCAATTGATTAATTCAGTGAATACTATATATATTTTTATTTCTTTTCTTTATATCGCATTTTTGATAGATTGTACAACGTATGAAACCTCAAGCAAGTTTAATGCCTAGTTATTTAGATTTAACTCAATGTCCATATATGTGGCCATATTGTTCTCAACCGTTATACTTTTCTATGCAACCAATTATCATTAATGTAAGTTTGTTTTATTAATAACTTAACCAACGGATAAATTAATTCACCTAATCGATTCATTATTGAACAATGTGAAATTATGTAGACTGTTAAATACGTTTACCATCCATCCATACATCCAACATATTATCTGATCCTTGAATTTCAGTGTGTTATGATTTCAACCCAACTATTCTTAATGCTTTGTATTGTCGGACACCAATTCACTTGAAACGTTCTCACAAAATCAGAACATGGTTGAATGAGGAAAGAGATTATATATTCCAATAACAAGGTTATATAAAAGACAGAGAAGTGCAAAACATGAGTATGTGGTGCTGTGGTGCGAACTACTTATAAGTAGTATATAGCGTGAGTGTCAACGTAAAGTCTGGTAGCATAATATGGGGGGAAGATCAAGAAAGGAAGAGTCAGAAAACAATGGAATTTGTATGAAACGCATGAAGAGTGACAATGGATTGATGTTTGGCAACAGGAACAGTCCAGTTCCATAGGATGAACTGATCTTTTGCAAATGAACGATTTACGATATGGTTTTCCGATTTTACTGAGTAACTCTGTAATTTTCGTTAAATACAATTCGGTTGCCCTCACCTGTGTTCTCATTCACTACATTTGGTGTCGCTGCCTACGCAAAGGATGAAGATTCCATGGCCGAAGGAGTTTGAAGACGGGGATGTGCGGGGCTTCCTGAAGGAGTTTGAGGCCGTGGCGGAGCTGGTGGGGGTGAAGGAACCGAAGGCCACGCTGGTGGTGCTGGGGACGCTGCTGAGAGGAAGGGCGAAGGCCGTATATGACGGCTTGGACGGTGCTGGCGGGAAGACGCCATGGGAGGCGGTCGTTGAGCGGCTGATGACCGAGTTCGACAGCCCGGTGGACAGGGAGGAGGCGTTGCGGAAGTTCCGGTTGGCGAGGCTGTCGGCTGATGGTGACCCGCTGGTGCTCGCTGTGGAACTCAAAAGGTTGCTGCGCCGTGCGTTGCCGGATATCGATGAGGAGTCGGAGGCACAATTGTTGGCGTCGCAATTTATTGAGAGTGTGCCTGCCGCTGTGTCCCAGCAGCTGAGATTAGTAAATGCAGCACAACCTATGGACATCGGTGAACTGGCGGAGGTGACTCGTCAGCTGATGACACGAACAGTAGCTCCGGTCGGGTGCGAAAAGCAGGAGATAAATACTTTCGAGAAGAAGATTGAGGAGTTAGAGCGTGAGATAGCAGCATTACGAGTAAATCATAAAAGGAACGATAAATGTTACGCTTGTGGAGAGGCAGGACATTGGAAGATAAACTGTCCAAGAAGACGACGACGACGATATTTTAAACATTATAACGTGTTTTCTTTCCACCCTAGGAATTGGGAGGTTCTTGCACTAGTAGATAGAGGGGCAATTTATGCCAGAGTGTACATAAATGAACGGGAGTTAGTGTGTTTGATTGATACAGGGGCAGCTATATCGTTAATAAGCAAAGAGCAATGTAAGACAATTAAACCATGTACATTAGCTGTCCACACCATAGGAGGGCATATGCTAGAGGTGTTCGGGGTATCTAACAGTATTCTAAAAGTGAGTGGAGCTGAGATAAATTTTCCGTTCGTGGTAACCACAAGCTTATCGAGACCAATATTAGGAGCAGATTTCCTAAGAGAGGTAAAAGCAATAATTGACTTGAAAAGCGGGAAAATGGTCACAAAGTACGGTTCATTGCCAATACATGAAAGTAGCGAAGTGGCTGAAATAAGGATGGCAACGGACGTCTCGACCAAGAAACCTAACGTTAACGAGTTATGCGCAAAGTATGCGAAACTGTTCACTGGAGATGGGGAGCCGTATGGATTTTGTGACAAAGTAAAGCATGAAATTCCTATAAAGAACGACCGAGTAAATATATTTACAACACGTCGTGTCCCAGTGCATTTAGAGGCCGAGGTAAATCGACAGGTCCAGGAAATGTTGAAGGAAGGTATAATTGAGGAAGCAGACAGCCCGTATAGCTCACCGGTACTCTTGGTAAAGAAACCCAATGGAAAGTATAGATTTTGCGTCGACTTTAGAGAACTGAATAATATAACAGACCTGAAACCGTGCGCAATGCCAACAGTAGTAGAAACATTAGATCGATTACAGAATGCCACGGTGTTTACAGTGCTGGATTTACGGTCAGGTTATTGGCAACTACCTATAAAAGATAGCGATCGCAAAAAGACAGCATTTACTATACGGGATAAACAGTATCAATTTAAAAGAATGCCGTTCGGGTTGGCTGGTGCACCGTTCACGTTCAGAAGATTGATGACGCTGCTGCTTAAGAATCTAGATAATGTTGAGGTATATGGCGACGATGTAGTTGTATACAGCCTGACGGAAACAGATCACGTCAAGCATGTGGAAGCGGTCTTAAAGCGAATTGACGAATTTGGGCTTCGAATTAATAAGGAAAAGTCGCAGATAGCGAAAAACAGCGTCATATTGTTGGGACATAAAGTGGGAAACGGAGAAATAAAGCCATTACCAGAGAAAATTCTTACCATAAAAAATATTGCAGTACCTAATTCGAAAAGGAAGTTGAGACAGTTCCTGGGAAGAGCGGCGTTCTATAGTCGGTTTGTCAAGAATTTCGACGAAATAGCAGCGCCCTTATATAAGTTGCTGAGCAACACCAAGTTTACATGGACTGAGGCTGCCGAACAAACGTTCAACCGAATCAAAAACATGCTAGACGATCGTCAGATGACGCTGCGACTGCCTGAACCCGGTAAACTGTTTACAGTGGCCACAGATGCAAGTGATCATGGTATAGGTGCGGTATTGAGTCAGGCTAATAGAGTGGTGAAATACGCAAGTCGCGTTATCACACCCGTCGAACAAAAGTATTCAACGATCGAGAAGGAATGCCTAGCAATCGTGTGGGCAGTAGAGAAATGGAGACCGTACCTTTTAGGTAGACGATTTCACATCGAGACGGATCATAAGCCCCTACAATGGTTGAAAACAGCAAAAGACCCTCGGGGGAAGTTGGCTCGATGGATGCTACGTCTGCAGGAGTATGATTTCAGCATCGGGCATGTGCCAGGGGAGGAAAATGTAATGGCAGATTATTTGTCAAGACCGGACACCGAAGCCGAACTTCCAGAGATAGCGTGTGCAGTTAACGGCCTAGAGGGAGACCCCCTAGAACTCGTCCGACATCAGAAAGCCGACCCTAATCTTCGGGAGGTAATCAGAGTGATAAAAGAGGGAGAAGATGTTGACAAGAGTAGAACAGATAAGGAATTAACAGTGTTGCTGAGGCAGAAGGAGAGACTGAGAGTGAACGGATACGGAGCCTTGACCTGGCGGGATGATGACGAGAATTGGGTAGCAATAATCCCAAAAGATCTACGCCAGGAGATGATTCGTGAATGTCACCAGGTAGCGCATACAGGTATTGCACGGACAACTGATTTGCTGCGACAAAGTGCGTACTGGCCAGGTATGAGAGACGATGTTGCACGATATGTATTAGCGTGCCAGCGATGTCAACTAATAAAAGGAGATCGATGCATACGACCGCCATTGCAGTCAATTCCAGTAACAGCAGTTGGTGATTTGTGGTCAGTAGATGTTATGGGACCGTTCCCGCAGACGACAAGTGGTAACCAGTACCTGCTGGTGATGACTGAGCATGCCACACGATGGGTAAATGCCGTGCCGATGGCGGACCAACGTGCAAGGTCGGTGACGGAAGCGGTAATGCGGCACATTGTGGCGGACCATGGGATACCAAAGATAATATTAACCGATCAAGGTCCCTGTTTCGAGAGTGATGAGTTCAAGTCCCGTCTAAAGCAGTTAGGTATCAAGAGAGTACGAACAACGCCGTATCATCCACAGACGAATGGGTTAACGGAAAGGAATAACCGAACGCTAAAGGAATGGCTAGCATCTAAAGGGGGTGACTGGGAGAAAGAATTACCATTAATCTTGCTGGCACATCGTGCCTCGGCACAGGGAACAACCAGGAAGTCACCGTTCCAGCTGATGTACGGCAGACGGCCGAGACTACCAACGCATGATAAAACCTGGCCGCAACAACAGAGATGGAATACAACAAGATTGAGAACAGAGCGGAGACAAGCAATCAGGAATGTGAGAGAGAAACAAACATCAGACATGGAAAAGTCAGAACAGGAGAGAAAGAACTGGAGATTGTTTGAAGTGGGAGATCAGGTGAAGTGTAGAGAACGGAAATATACCACAGGAAGAGGGCCAGGGTCAGGTAAGCTGATCCCGAAGTGGGAGGGACCGTACGTCGTCACCGAGAGGCGCGGCGCAGTGTATACGATCCAGAAAGGAAACAAACAGAAACGCGTGAATGCCAGTGAACTCCAAAGGTGGTTCCAAGTGCGCCAAGAGGGCGAGCCACAAACACTGATGAAGAATC